AACTCTAACATTGGTGTGCAGCAATAGCTCCATTGAAATCAATGGACCTCAACAAATGTAAAACCAGTGTAAGTTCAGAATCAGAGCCAGATTTTATAACTTCCCACATCAGAAAGAAAATTCCTGTGCTTATTAACTATAACCATGAGCCAATGCAGATTTAATACTAATGCTTTTTTGATGAATTGTTTCGTATTCTGTTGTGAATACTTTCCGCATGACTACATAACGTAATAAAATAAAATCTGTCGTTAAATTCTACAGATATGAACAAAGCACAGAACTGTGTTTTCTAGTCTTAAGTATTCAATATTTTATCTTGTAACATTCGCAAGACCAGGACGCCGCTTTGCTAGCGCAGAACCATTTAACTCTGATGGAGTGTAGTGTGTAAATTATAAAAATGATCCCCAAGGTACACTTAGGGAGTCATGTTTAGGTCTGTTGAGGAGTGGGTTTAACTATAGTGAGATGGACATAACTATGTTCCTACAACAATAACAACACTCACTTGACATCGACAAGAGGTGCAAACCCAGGGTCTCATGCAGGACTCCTTACTCAGGCAAGATTCCAACTAAAGTCTCCATATGTCTCCAATATAGAAGGATAGCATGGTTTATACCAAGGTAGATACTCTGTTGATGAGAAAGCAGTTAAGAATCATTTGGATATTGACCCCATTTAGATATGACATCAGAGCTTTCATCAGATAAAACCAGCGGGATGAGACAATCACTTAGCAGTAGATATTTACAATATACATTTTAGTTATTCTAGTTACAGCTACAAAATTAGTTACAATATTATATGGTAAAGTGTGGGGGTGAATGGGAGAAGGGGCATTGTATCCATGTTGATTCAAGTGCAGTGGCTGGAAATTCTAACATAAATGTGCGGAGGCCCATTAGCTCCTGCTGTAGCCCATTCACTAGTGTAATTGCCTGAAAGGCTGTATTTTAGGCTCCTACCTTTACTTAGTTCCTTAGTAAACAAGGTGTTTACCTAGGCTTTGAACTTGTGACTTTCACACATCATGAATTAAAAACATTAAATATCAAAACCAGGAATATAACATCCTAAGTGTTAAAACTCAAAAAGAGTTGGTTTGTGGCTAAGATTCATTTTGCAGTCCAAAATTTGTTTATTGAACTAACTTAGTTTTTCATTTAGATTCCTCTTGGACATTTAAAATATTTTTCATGGGCATGAAATTCTAAGGGTAAAATGGGAATTTCATGTACAGAAAAAGAGAAGGATATGCGAGATGGACCTGCAGTGTGGATCAGAGAGGAGGATTTTTCCCTAAAGGATGATTTCTAAAGTTACAGTAGAAAGTTTAGAAAACAAAATCCTTATTTTTTAAAAATGAATAATGAGTTTCAAAGAAAATAATTTCAGCAGTTGTTAGTACAGATGGCCACAAACTGGAATTCCCATTCTGCAGAAAATTCCAAAACTACCCATCCTCCTCCCAGTCCCTGAAATTTTGAAATTTCTGGCAGAATGGAAATTCTTAAAGATAGTTTAGGAAAAGTCAAAACATCATTTTGTTATGATCTTTTTCTAAATTATGCTGAGGCTCCCTGAGCTGCCCAAAGCCCCAGCAGCCAAACAGGAAGGAACTGGACTGCTCAGAGAGATTAGGAGACGGTGCTCCTGGGCTGCGGAGAAGCCCTAGGAGACCCAGCTTTGGGACAGTGAATGAGCCCACAGCCTGGAAACCCTGTGAGCCTTCTCCCTGGTGCAGTCTGCCAGAGCTGGGGAGTCGGGTAACTCCAGCTCTGAGACAGTTTACCCATTGGCTGCCCTGGAGCTGGGGAGCCTGGAAGCTTGAGCTCCCCACCAGACCACCAGGAAGGCTATTGAGTGGGGAGGGGAAAAGAGACAGAGCTGGGAATGATTTTCTGATGGAAAATTGAAAATTTTCAGGCAAACCCACAGACCCATTTTGATTACATAAAAAGTGAATTTTCCTCAGAAAATTATTCTGATCAAAAATTCCCACTTCTTCTAGTAATTAGTTATTAATATTCTTCTTAACATCCAGTCTTATTAGCAATTATTTATTTCAGATTGTAGCTTTTACATACTGTAATGAAGGGGATGTACTCAATCATGTTTGCTTTAAGCTGCCTTTTTCCTATTTCTTGATTTTCATATGATATAGGTGTCATTTTAATTGTTGGTTGAGCTTACAAGGCCTAACAGTACACTGATTGTCTATCTCTTTCCTGATAGCTTTTGAATGCCACATCCAATCTATTCCAAAATTTCAGGGAATGTTTCAGAAAGAGGAAATGGAAGATACCCATCTCAACTCTGCTGAGACTCCCAATACAGGTAAAAAAGATGTTGAACCCTGAATGACTTACATCCCTGACAGAAAGAAAAGAAATAAGGGCAGTGGAGGGGAAGGGAAAAATGTGGGAGGTACATAGAGACCCTGACAGAAAATGGGGACCCTGATATAGGGAGAAAGGGGAATAAGGGCATGAGAGGAAGAGAAAAATAGGGGCATGGGGGAAAGGTGGAATGGGGGCACATAGATACCCTAGAATGGGAGGGGAAATGGGGGACAATGGTATATGGAGGCATTACATGGCAGATAAACAGAACCCTTAGCACTGGGCATGGAGTGTAGGGGGAACACACAGAGCCCCTGATGCAGAGAAAAGGGAGGATGGTGGGCATGGATAGAAGGGAAATGAGGGGGTACAGAGATCCTGGCATGGGTAGGAAAGGGAAATGGTGACACACAGGGCCCTACATGGTAACCCACATCACTCACCTGTAATGCCAGCCCTACTGCCTCTGAAAAAGTGACAACCCCTCCCTCCATACCATGCGACCCTCACCAGCCCAACCAGCAGCTGCCCTCTAGCCACCCAGCTCTGAAGGCAGCAGTGCAGAACGGTGGCAAAACCGTGATCCCCCCTACAATAGCCTTGTGACCCCCTGATCACGACCCCCTTTTGGGTCAGGAACCCCATGGTTACAACACCATGAAATTTCAGATTTAAGTATCTGAAACCATGAAATTAATGATTTAAAAAATCCTATGACGGTGAAATTGACCAAAATGGACCTTGAATTTGGTAGGACCCTATTTATAGCCCTGATTTCCCCAAGGGCCCTCTAGAAATATTTGTGATTAAGGCCATTCCCCCACATCTTCTAGTTCAGCCAATAATCTCTGCCTCTGAGATAGGATAATGAGTTGAGTTCTCCATGGTTTTGCATTTGTGTTGCATCACATACATGTTTTCCCCATGATACAAGGAAAAAGGGGCCTGGGATGAGAATGCAGATGTTGATATTTTTGTATTTGGGATACACTAGCATCTAGTTTTTAAATGAACTACAAAAGAAAAGCATTTAGATAAAATTCTATGCTCAGTTAAGAAAGATTCTAATCCCTGTGTTGATTTCCAAAGAACACACCGTATAAAAGCCTTCAGTAGATGTGTTTGTTACTGGAAAGAAAACAAAATGTATTTCTGTGAAAGCACCTCCTGCTGGACTGGAGAAATGAATTTACTCTGTTTTAACCTTGAGCTTCTCCATGCTGAAACTGACAAATTCGAGCCCAAAGAGTTAGGAGAGAGACCCTTTTAAATGAGGAACTGGATGAACGCAAGGGACATAATATTCCATGAGATGTACTAATCTGTAAGATCTCCTAAATTTGAAGGACATGCTTCATAATTAACACATTGTGAATAGTAAAGCAGAAAATATGGAGTGCATATAAAAATAATTATTTTGTGTATTACAATAAAATGGTCAGAGCAGCTTATTTTTCAAAGACTCCTTGTTTCCAAGGGCAAGGGTCAGTTAAAATGAAGCAGTTTTAGAGAAGCAAACACCTCATTTATATTTTTCAAACTTAACACAGTAATATTTTGAGCAACAAATGTATATATTAACAGTCACATTTTAAAGTGATAAAACAAAACCCTGTCCACCCTTAGGTCTGAATACAAAGCTGCATCCTATAATTGACTATGCCTTGTATTTTGTCAGAAAAAAGAGCACACAGTAATTTTTATCTCAGCTAAAATATTTCACATATGTAAAAAGGCAAATTATATAAAAAACATAGGATGTGAAGTCTCTTTCAACTGCTTTGTTAAAAGTGTCAGTGAAACACTGGAACAAAAAGGAATTAGGATTAATTTTGGTACAAACCCACATAAGGGACATCTGAATTAGAGGACTGGGAGCAAGTTAGTCTTAATTGTTTTATTTAACTCGATCATTAAAAAGCTGCCCCTTTCCTAACATGGCATAGTTATCCCTTCTTTATATGGCTCAGCTGTTTTTCTTTTCTCTAACTTATCTTTGTACATGTGATTTTTTTTAATCTGGTATAATTTCCCCCATTGTTTTTGCAGTTAGACTAGATGTAAAAGATAATTTAGAATAACATCGATGGGGGGGGGGGAGGGGAGAGTAATAGATATTTTAGGAGAGGTACCAACCTAACAGGATTTAAACCACAAAATTTCTGAAAAACTGTCAGACTCTTTAGCCACCAGACTACAACGTATTTGATTAGCACCATGAGGACTGAAATGGGTCCCAGAAAACTTCCAATATAATAAATGTTTCCTGGAAGGGCTATAAAGTTAAGGGAGAGATATGTGTCCTTTAGTTCATACCACAATCACAGGAAAACCAGCTTTAATTGAAAGGGGGAAGTGAGAAGAAAAGGAAAACGGTGAACAAGATCCCCCCCACCCCCTTTAGCTGCCTAATCCTGCAAATGGTCTCGGTGTCGGTGGTTTCGTTTCAGAGAAAGCCCAGGTCAGTCTTTCCCCAGCTTGCAATGTTCAGTCGCTTCCCTTGGCAAGGAGAGCCCTTCCCCTTTCTCTAAAAGAAAAGGAGTACTTGTGGTTGCTGTGGCTTGCATGATACTCCGCATACGACAGGTTAGCTCGGTCCGCAGCCGGCCGGGAGACCTTTGTGCGGCTCACTGTCCCAGGCTCCCCCTCCACCGAGGTGCAGAGCGGACAGCAATGGCTGGCAGCGCTCTCCGCTCACTGCAGTAGGGGGCAGACCGCGCCGCTTGTGTGCACACGGCGCTGCCGGTTCCCTCTGAGTGTAGCCCGCGTCCTCGGCTGTTAACACCGGAGTGCTCTGGGAGCGAGCCGGGCTCTGTCAAGCCACCGCTGCCCCTGGGCTCGCCTCACGCCTCTCAGGTAAGGGCGAAGCGGGGGTGAAGACACCAGGGGCCGCGGGGTGAAGGTGGCTGGCAGGGGGAATGGAGCGGGCGTGAGAAGACAGCGCAGAAGCTGATGAAACAGGAGGTGTGAGAGGAGACAATGGGTGAAAAAACTCGGCTGCAGCAAGCACGGTGGGGCAGCGGGTGGAAGGGGGCGCCGCTGGGCTGGCTGGGCGTGGGGGACAGGTGGGGAACTGGGGCCCCGGTCCCAGGGGATCAGAGAGAACTGTGGTTCCTGGGGGCATCGGGGCACAGCTAGCGGGGGCTGGGGGGAGTCTGCCAACTTGCCGCGGTGGGTTTGTTGGGCAGGGGCAGGCGGAGGGCTCCGGACACTTGGTGCAGGCTGGGGTGGGAAGATCTGGTCCAGGGCACTTGACAGGTGACCCGGTAAAGGTTTTTGGCAGTCAGGGGCTTGATGGCACTTTTTGTTGCCCTGGTGGGCGTGGGAGGGTCTTTGGCAGCTTGAGGGGAAAGTTCAGAGCTCCTCTCCCCTGGGATGTGAGAGCGCTTGGGCAGCTGGGGTAGGGAGGTTCTGGGAAGGTTTTTTCAGCTGCGAATTAGGGTTGCCTCCAGTTGCGGGGCCTGGGAGGGTTTTGGTACCCGGCGTTCAGGGATGAGTGTCAGAGGGGCAGGAGGCCAGGGTGTTGCTGGTTGGATTTTCCTTGCCTGTTAGAGAAGGGAAAACTCAGGCCCCACCAGAGTCGCGGAAAGTGGGTTTCCCCAAACGACTGAGGGTCGTTTGAGGGGAATCGCAGTTTCAAGAGCGGTCCTACCCCAGGAACACAGCCAGCTCCTGGAGCTGAGCCGGATAGCCTTGGCACCAGGTAGGTCCCTCCAAAACGACTGATTCCCTGCAAGATTGACTGTCTCTCCGAGCCCCTCCTGCCTGCATAGGCAAATGACAGGCTGCTAGGCTGGCCGAGCGACTCTATTTCACAGCTGATCCGGCAGCCACGCTAATTGACTAGCCAATTAAAAAGCACACTTTCAACGTAGCCTTGGCCCCGGCCTTCTGATTGGCTGAAGGTGCGGAGAGGCTGGGCCCCTGGCTGGCCGAGCGTTCCGGAGCAGGACTGTTGCGTTGCGCTGCGCGCTGTCTGTGTAGCTGCGTTGTGCATTCTTGGGATGGGGCGGCTGGCTGGAGGGTGGAGTTGGTGCATTGCTTTGGTGAGTAAAGCTTCTTCCCAGTACTTAACTGAGCACAAAGGAAAGGAAGTTCAAGTGCAGAGGATGGTGCACATGCAGCAGTCTCAGAGGGCCCTGGGGGCATGTTGCGTCCCAGATAGTTTCCAAAGCAGCAACAAATAAAAGGCTTGAGTAATTTATTATAATTTTCAAGTTTATCTCAGGAGCTGTATTTTCCCTCGTGTCTGCTTTTCACACCACACTTCAGTAGTGCCATTGTCGTTTAATAGCCCAAGGGATGGGAAATAGACGCTTAACGGGTTGGAAATGTACAGTTTTTCTTCTCTTGGGAACTTCAGTGTCTCTAATAGTTGCTAAAATACAAATTAGTTTAGCTTATGAACTTCAGAGCCAAAGAAAATAAGTTAATTCCGGCCGAGTAGGGATTGCGCTGCAACGTTGTCAGTTGTTTTAGAGGTGTGTGCGGGGGGGGAGGTTTGGTATTTTTGCTGCTAGCAGAAAACATACTGCAGCCAAATGCGTTGTTAATCAACTACAGAAACTATGTTTAAATGTGAATTTACGAAGATCATTACAAAGATGAGAGTAAAAATCCTTCCTATCTTTAATTCATGTTGCTGTGCAAATTGAACAAAACAAAGTGAAATCACCTGAATTGATTATCAATCACTTTGTGTTTTGTAAATAGAGATTATAGTGAGCATTTGGTAGAGAAAGCTATAATGATGAAAAAAACAGTTTCAGTTGTAACCTGTTTTCACAGGGTCAACTCTCTAGAAAGCTTATCTTTTTGATTCAAATTGTTCATATTAGTCTCTGGTCAAAGATGGTTTGTTTGTTAAATTTGAATAAAGCTTTTCAGACCTTGATTCTTTCCCTCCCCCCCCCCCCGAAATGAAAACATACACATAGATATCAAATAACTGGCAAAAAGTGCAGGTTGTATAAAATCTGTACATTTCTCCACCTCCTTTAAAAAAATAACCATCATCTTTTGTTCCACACAGCTAACTTAAAAATAGCTAAACTTTGAAATTTTGAATGTAATTGATCCTTAGTGAAGAGTATCTCCACAACAAATTTGAAAAAATGGGTTGGCTATTGATAAAGTTTGAATGATTGAAAACTAAGTATTGTACATGTGTAATGTAACATTTCACTTAGTCTGAAGGTGAAATCCTGGCTCTGTTGATGTCTATAGAACTTTTACCATTGATTTCAGTGGAATCAGGATTTCTCCCTCATGAGTGTTTTCACTTCAGAAGAGATGCAGTGTGTGTGTGTTCTTTCAGAAATTGCATTTGTCAATATATGTCATAGAGATATAAACTTATGCTTGTTTAAAGACTTGAGAATTAGGCGCCTAGGTGCTTTTGAAAATCCCTCTGTGTGCCTGTTTGCATCTTTATGTTCCCCAAAGTCTTTAAATATCTGTCCCTTTGAGGGCCTATGTTACCTTAAGGTAGCAAAGAGGCATCTTTTCTTTTTTCTAAAAAATAAACACATGGAAATTAAATGCAGAAAACTTCATTAATCCAACATTATGATTGCACAGTTAAAAAAAATTGGAAATGAGTACACTCAAGGAACCTTAACTGTTTGTTTCCTGACTTTCCCTAATATATTAATTGTACATTGCATTAATTCAAGAAGTTATTTGTATTTAATATATTCCAGGTATGCTTTCTAATGTAAATACAATTTTTAAACATCTCCATTATATTTATTTAGTACTATGTAATTAAACAGTTTTCTAGTTGAAATAATAATTTACTCCATATCCCTGTTACACTAGAAATATGTAATTACATATCTTTTAAAATAAATTAAATTTACTGTATAGTACTAATGAAGTCTTGTAGAATTTGTGTCAGGACCTATTTAGAAATGTCTTAGAAGTAATTAATCTGATGAGGTCCTATTCAATAAAGAATACTATGATTTTGGAAACTTGCATTAGGTTATGGAATCCCTTCAAAGTATGATGATGTGGATGAATTCTTGCAGCTTTGTTGGCAGTGTTTACTTTATTGAATGTGTGAGCTTCAGCCCATAATGGTCCCTCTGATCTATTATGATCTGTACAGTCATTGTGGATACAGTTGAGTGAATATATTACAATGATTTTTTCGGTCTTAATGGGTGTGTTGTGCCAAGACTTATTTAGCAACTCATTCATCCAATATATTAGATAGACTATGAATCAGATTCTTGCAGGTGCATACTTGTGGAGCATGGAAAGATCTCTAAAAATGCTCACAGTGCTTTCCATTTGATTTAATGAACATTAACTTATTTATAAAACAAGACATCTTAACACCTGATTTTGCTTCCATTTAAATCAATGGCAGTTTTGCCACTGCCGTTAAAGAGAGCAAGAATTAGCTCTTAGTGATTTGGGACCTGATGTACAAAATTAAACATATGCAATTATGCTCAAAAAATGCATGACTAATTTGTCTATGCATTTACTGCAATTAAGTGTGCAGATTGGTAATTGAATGTGTAACTGGACATTTCCACATTCAACTGACACTTTATTATTGAATTCACATACACAATTACATTGTGCATGTGTATTAGGCAGGTAACTGTGCATGTAATTGTGTGTCTAATTATGAAAATCAAGTCCTTTACATTTTATTTTCAAAATAGCAAAAGGAATGGATTTATGGCCTTCAAATTGTCATATTGAAATGGAGGCCTTTCTGGAATTACAGCACTGCTGAAAAAATATTCTGAACCTATATATTTTTGATTGATGGCTTTTTTTACTTAAAAATAGCCAAATAATTTTTAGTGCTTGAATATATATAAAATTAAATTCCTTTCTGAGATGAGATTTTGTATTCTAAACTGAAGGCACTTTAAATTTTATTTTTACTGCTAAATTATATTTTCTCTGAAACAGAAATAGTTTAGAACAGAAAATTGACCGTCTCAATTATAATAATGTAAATATTGCTACTATAATGAATGACATATAGAACAAAAATAAATTCAACACCTTGCCTTTATAATTAATAAAATACTCTGTAATGCATTAATTTTACTTCTTTTCATGTGTCTTTTTCTAGATAGCAAATGCTTAATAAAGTATATTGACAATTTTGCAATCCTTATACATTCAAGTAGTCTGTCAATGGGACTACTTATAAGAATATAAGTTTTCAGGAATAGGACCTATATGCCAACGTCACTATATATATGTTAACATCACAGTATCTTAGGCCCCAGTCTTGCAAAGAGATTATATGACCAAATTTTTATGCACACATGGATCTCTCTGCATGATCAAGGTCTTAGTCTGATTTTTATTCTCTACAGAGTGAACGCACCCAGTGGGCAGGGTTGGTTCCAACCTTTGTATACTTACAAAAATCATGATAATACAATTCCATATCACTTTCTCCTGTTGAAATTAATGGCAAATTTTAATATGAACATCATGAGGGTCTCATAAGTTATCACTACAGTTTCTTCACAACTGTATTTCATTCTTAATTTTTCAATTTTATTGATGTAGAAATTACATTTGGCACCTAGATCCTACTGGTTGGATTGCATTAGAAATAAATATGGATGGGCACATATATATAATAAGGCCTGCTTCACAACTATGTTACTCCAGTTTTACATCAGTGTAACTCCATTGATTTTAGGCCTCTAAAATACATTGATTTTTCATCATTTCTAGCATAGAAATTTAATGTTATTTATCCTTGTCCAAGACCTAAAAAGCATGTTTAAGACAGAACAACTGGAATGTTCATGCAGATATTCCTGCCTATCAATTGGTACACAGCACTCATTAGCATTTTAAAAAACACA